CAATGAGTACGAAATTTTTACTATAGTTCAAGCATACAATAATTAGCGTACCATAAAAATTTCACCACAATTGGACCATAGAAGCTGCATCTATGAATTATTCCAATTAATTACAGACAAAATTAGATTTTCCAATTAATCTAAGGCAACAGTAAAAATTTTGTAATAAATCATATTGTATTATATATTCACTACGTAGATCTACTCATGTGGAGTCCAACAAAATTAGATTTTTCATTTTATGATTTACTATGATTTTTAAAAAAATTCACCGAAAATAAAAAAAAGAAAATTCAAAACCACGGTTACTGTAGCAAACATGTTGTTACTGTGTCAAAACCGCCGCTGAAAACCGCCCAGAGGTAAAATAGACGGTTATAGAAAGTTCAGGGGGTAAAACAAACAGTTTCATAGTTTGGGGGTGAAGTAGACCAAATATGAAAGGTGGGGGTTAAGTAGACTTTTTCCATAACGAAAACAACTCGACGTGCGCGCAAGCGTATCCAACCCAAAGCTCGTAAACAAACCGGGAGGAAGATAATGAAATCCCAAGCACTGATCGGTTGTGTGAGTCAGCGCACTTTGGCCATGCGACTCGTGCCCCTCACCAAAATAAGGAATAGCTTTTCTTCTGAAAATAATAAACATCAATCTCCTCTGGTGCTGAGAAAGCGAGACGAAGGTCACGAAAAAAGCCGCGAGAAATGGACGTAAATTTGGGAAATATCCAGGACGGCCAACGGTCCTGTACTCCCGTTTCGCCCTCCGCTGGTGGGGCGCTCCCCGCTGCCACGGCCTGGAACCGCCTCCCTCCGGCTTCTATTTAAGAAGGCGCCCCCCGCCACCATCCTACTCACCACACACCGCCGCCACCACCACCGCAGTCCACCCCGCACCCGCAGCGAGAAGCCTTCGATCAGGTAGCTGACCAGCTGCGCCCAGCCGCAGATGGTTTCGCGGCCGCTAGAGGCTTAGCGTCGAGGAGGAAGCAGCGTGCCACATGTTGAGTGAACAGACGGCGGCTAGCACTAGCAGCGGCGGCGGCGGCGTCGAGCATCAGGAGAGGAGCGTCGAGGACGACAGGCGGCTGCAGCCGGTGGGGGAGAACGAGGAGGAGGAAGAGGAGTTCAGGGACATCCACGCGCTGAGCCCGCCGCCGACGCCGAGCCAGCCGTCGTCGTACCGCCTCCGGGCGTCGTGGGGGTCCGCCGCGGGCGGGAGCAGGCACACGTCCATCCGCTCCGTCGGGAGCGACACCGCACCCAGCGAGCCCTTCCCGACTATGAGCAGGGAGTTCTCGGCCATGGTCGCCGCAGCAGCCAGCGCCAACGCCGCCGCCAACGGTGACGCCGCCGACAGGGACGTCGTGGACGCCATGGGCAGGAGCAGGATCGGGGAGGCCGAGGAGGAGCTGGAGGAGACCAACCCGCTGGCCATCGTGCCCGACAGCAACCCCATCCCGTCGCCGCGCCGGGGCCCGCCCACCCCAGGAGGCGCCGACGTCGCGCTGATGGCCGCCAACGGCCACGGCAACGCCAACGGCGAAGGCGGGGTGTCCGTGGGGCAGGTCAAGAAGGAGGAGGTGGAGTCCAAGATCGCCGCGTGGCAGATCGCCGAGGTGGCCAAGGTCAACAACCGCTTCAAGCGCGAGGAGGTCGTCATCAACGGCTGGGAGGGCGACCAGGTCGAGAAGGCCAGCGCCTGGCTCAAGAAGTACGAGGTAATCCATCCATCTATACCTTCACTGACCAACATATACTCCTACAAAACCAGCAAACCTCCTAATCATGCAAGTATCTAAATTGTTCTGATAGAAATGCATGTATTTGTATGGTATGACATGTGCAGAGGAAGCTGGAGGAGAAGCGTGCCAAGGCGATGGAGAAGGCGCAGAACGAGGTGGCCAAGGCGCGGCGGAAGGCGGAGGAGAAGCGCGCGTCGGCGGAGGCCAAGCGGGGCACCAAGGTGGCGCGGGTGCTGGAGCTCGCCAATTTCATGAGGGCCGTGGGGAGGGCGCCCTCCACCAAGCGCTCCTTCTTCTGAACCCACTCCCCCCACCGGCCACCGGCCTTCGCTCTTCTTCAGCAATTCTTCTGCCCTGCCTGCTCTGCTCGTCGCCGCCGCCTGTGCAGTTCAGTTGTTCACTGAATTGGATCGTTCACCGCTTCACTCCCTGGGATCAGACAGAGTGATCAGTGCCGTGCTAGCTGTGTGGAACGCTTGTTTTAGTGTTGCATCCACCACATGTATGATTTGTAACTTTTTTTTCTATTTCTCCTGTTTTGTGTTTCATATGGTATGGTATTGCAAAGTCCATGGCCACGACGGACAGGGAAAGTACATATACCATAAGAAGGATGTGCTCTGCCCGAGTCTTGAGGGCAAGAGCTGCCTGTATTTTGTTGGAATTTTGTCATCGACGGTTGTGTATGTCAATATGAACAAGATACGAAGTCCATTACCACTGTGTAAATTGGGCCGCTTGCACACTTAATTTCTGAGGTAGTGGCTTTCTTCTTCGTTTCTGTTCTCTGTGTTTATTTCCTTCACTGCGGTGAAGCTCCCATGCTCTCAACGGCAAAAATTGACAATTCTGCTACTACTGTTTTTTTTCTTAAGGAAAGACTGGAGAGTAATTTGGCACACATGTATAGTGAACTCCATGAACTTTCTGCTTCTCTGCATGCGCTGACGAGTTTCACTTGGAACATCAGTTTTGCTGTAGAGCTAGAACCACAGTCCACAGTCGTGAGGTCAAAGCTGTTTCTGACTATTCGAATGTCACCTCAACTCAGTCACATATCACCACAGTCGTGAGGAATAGCACTCATCATTAACACACAATATTCTATATATCCGAAAGTGCCCTCTGCAAAAAGGAGGCTGATGATAGGGCTAGGTCTTCGTGTCGCTATATTAATAAATTCCGACCCATACTTCCAATTAGCATGATCATAGTTTAACAAAAAGGTAAGTATACTAGTACTCCCTCTGTTTTTAATTACACTACATTATATGATGCTTTAAGACAAGTGAATTAGTTTAATCGTCGTATATTTTAAACGGAGGTGCTAAACAATATCCATATCCCTAGAAGAAAAGTGACCTTCAACTTACTTGGAGTGCTAAACAATATTCTAAGGTGGAGTGTAGTACAGTGCACAAAAGATGATCCTCAGTATATTACTCACTTGGAGTGCGGACGCAAGATTTTTTTTTCGTTTATTGTTCGGCTCAGCTTAACACGGCAACAGTGCAACTCAAAATATTCATCTGCTCATTTTTGGTTGCACAATAGTGAAGGTGTGAACAAATGCTAAGGTAACGCAGTACATGTTATAACGAAGAGACAAAAGGGGGTTCTTTTTTGGTACCTGAAAATTGTTCGTCTCCTTTTTGACTGCACGGGAGGGGAGACCGTCAGACCGGAGAGGATGCGAATCCACGGATTCCTTGCACCTGGACAGAGCGAAGCGGCCTCGGACCCACTAATGGGCCGCACGGGCTCGTGCCTCGTACTAATGGCGGGACGACTTCGCCAGGCCCATAGACAGGGCTAGCCCATGTGCGTCTATGCACGGAGCGCAGGCGCGCAGCAGGCGGCAGGCAAGCTCACATGTGAACAGAGCGCCGCCTGTTCTTCTGTTCACTCTTATGTCATGGAACATGGCATGTACCGTTTCAAAAGTAAAAGAACATGGCGTGTTCCGAGCTTCACCTGTCAGCGGCCAGCGGTTAAATGATCACGCGATTAGTACAAGAAATTACATACTACTGCTACTACTACTAAAGCAGTTTAGTTAGGGATGAAAACGGTCAGAAAACCTCTCAACCGTTTTCTACTTCTACATTTGAATACGAAAGCAAAAGCGAAAGCGGTAAAGCCGGGCACGAAAACAAACACGAACTTACGGAATATCGAGAATTTCGAAAACGAACTAATTCGAACGGAATTATATCGAACACAGTCGATATCCGAAAAATCAATACGAAATATTAACCCGTAGGACCAAGTGCATAACAATTAACAAGTAAATAATAATTAACAAGTCCTACAATTTTCTTAGAAAGTATCTCGATTCGACACCATGTAAGGAAGATATGATTGGCAGCAAGCACTTGTATGCGATTAATATACCCATGAAACTTTGTTTAATTTTTTCGAACATCTTAAGACTTCAAATGAAAAAACTAAATACTAGAAAGTTGTAGATCTCATCGAGAGCTATAATTTTCATATAAAAACCATCTTCATCCGAGATCATATGAAAAAGATATAATTTTTCTAAGGTTGGACTTCTAATGGGCCAAATTTGGTATAAACCGAATTTCGAATTCGGGATATTCCGAATTAAAAATAGAAAAGTAGAAAATGGCCGGAAAAATATCTAAACCGCGTTCCGATTTCGAATTTGGTGTTTCGAATTTCAAACCGAATTCGAATTTATCCAAAAATACGAATTCGATCGGATTAAATGTAAAAAACAATGCGGTTTGGTACGGGATATTTCCGTACCGTTTTCATCCTTAAATTTAATTATGCTTAAGTATCAGAGAAGAGGGAGATAATGAAAAGTACGCAGTGAAGTTATGCCATACCTTGTCTGGTCTAGATGAAGGGTTGATCCTTGATTGTAACTCAGGTCTGGTAACTTCGCTGCCAATTGAAATGGTACAAATATAGGCGCGTCTAGTAAGTGGTATGCTCTCTCCTGCAATGCTCAGAACTTGAAAATGAACGGGCAACAGTAAAAAGTTATATCCTCAAGTGTTAGGTTGTAATGGATTACACGAACGGGAGAATAGCAAGTTAGCAACCCAAAACCAAAGTTACTCTGCTTTCATAGTATTTAGTATAAATTGATGCAGACATAAAGACTTATTTATGTACAAAACTTCTGCATAACTTAGAAGAAAACGGTCATCACTGTACAGGACACACCAACTAGTGCAGCAGGAATATGTTCCGCTCATCTCTGAACTATCAGTATCGCATATCCTCATATAAGACTGTCAAGATGTTCTCCACTGCTCCCACCAAAAGACGTCTCTGGAGGTTTTGGCAGATCATCCAAACTGACCAAAGGCTCGTTTGAAGTATGTGGCAGATCAACCACATCAGCTGAAGGCTCATTCACTGAAGAAGCATCTATCCCTGAAGGGTTTGTCAAGTCAGCCACGTCAACCAGAGGCTTATTAAGAGCAGAAGTATATGGTTCTGATGGTGTAGTCAGGTCAGCAATATCAACTAAAGGCTCATCCGCAGCAGAAGCATCGTCGTCTGAGGATGAGAGTGTACTAAACAGTCGAGTTGAGCCAATGCCAGCACCACTGTCAATACCCTCCAGATCAGAATTTTGTGCTTCAGAATCAGATGATTCAGCAAGCAAGACTTCAAGGGACGGGCTGCTCTTATTTGTACCCTTTCCTGCCGAGGTCATGGCCAGCATGTCATCCTTAAACTCATAAAGTAAATCACAAACCTTTTGCAGCTCTTCCCCAGAAATTAGTGTTGCAACAGGACGATCTCCAATGCCTGCAAGATCTTCAACGTAGTTTCCTGATGTGTCATTCCCTGAAATAATAGGTTCTCTGGCAGGTGCTCCACTAAACGACTCCATACCCATACTAATCGAACTTGAACAGGAATGTTCCCCATTCTGTTTTGAAAAACTCTCATCTAGACTCCAGTCCAAACTGCTGTTCTCAATCAATTTTTTATTGGAATCTGTAGCATGATACTGAGAAAATATAGAGTCCATCATCGAAGAAGGCCTAAATCCATTCTCTGTACTTTTCAGGCCACATTCCTCATCTGAGACTGCTGCTTTCGTATTATTAATATCGCCACCCCTAGTTCTGGGGGCATTACTGCTTGATCCTTCAAATTTTGCCCCAATGGGTACACTAGACAGAAAAATTCCCTCATCTGCATCGACTTCAAGAGCTCTCTTCACTAGAAGTTGACTGAGATTTTTCGAATTTTTATCAGCTCTAGCCGATGTTCTCTCAAAAGACAGTTTTTCAGCACCATCATTACCAAGGCATACCTCAGAAGTACCATTCTTACAAGAGCTAGCATTCCTTGCTGCAAGAAACTCCACCAAGGATATGGAAGGTCTATTTCCATTCACCTCAACTCCACTATCAACAGGTTCAAAAACTGTAGGAGGATCCAAAGGTCCAGTATTCACAACATATGGCATTGCATTCAAATTAGGACCATTGTTTTGTCTATTCACGCAACTTCCATCATCAATAGATTCCTCAATTGTATCAGTCTGTGAGGGAACATCCAATGGTTCTGCGATTGCAACAAATGCCACCTTTGATGTATTGATATCATCGTTCTGTTCATTTATCTCAACCCTGCTATCCAACATTTCCTTTGAGAGAGAATTATGTGGAGTTGTGTCAATATCCGGAGAAGATATGAAGCCACCGACCAAATTTGCATCACCAGATGCACCCAGAAATTGGTCAGCTGAACCATCTTTAGTGGACATCTCACAAGTTTTTCCAGGAGAAAGGGAACAACTGAAGGAATTATCGATATTTTCAGCACATAAATTACTGGTAGTGCAAACAGCAGGTTTCGAAGATGATGTTTCTTTGGTAGAAGTGAGTAATGCCTCCAATGCAGACGCCAATGCACCATTGATAGATACAGTGTTTTTGCTCTTGGTGTTGCCAGCTGTGCTTTTCCTCGGAGTATCATCAGACCATGTGTGATCATCACCATCACCACAAACTTCAGCTTGTTTCTTTTCTTCCACTTCGTCATCATCATCATCATCATCTGGGAATTCAGGAACCTTGACAACTAAACCTGGGGAAGTTTTACGCTCCTTTTCAGAGGATAGAGCAGGCCCATCATGAAGGTTTCCATCAGTTAGCTCAGGTTGAGCAATAGAATCAGGGACCAAATCAGGGACCTTTACAAGTAGCCTTGGCACCACATTAGGCCCACGAAAATTAACATGGTTTCCATTAGTTATTACATTATAACAACAGGAATCATCTGACATAAAATCTGGCGCCCTGACAACTAAACCTGGCTTCCTGTCAGTTGTAGGAGTACTTTTATCATTAGCATCATTATGTGCTTCCTCCTGTGAGCTCGTTGTATTAGACATACCATCTGGTGCTGACCTAAATGCAGAAGAACCTCTCAAAGACTGAATATCCACAGAGAACGAATTAAACTGTTCCTCCAGTCGTTGAAGCCTTGCCTCAATGCTACCAAGGGGCTTTATCATGTTGTCCTCAAACCTTGAGCAATATAATTCCATCTTCTCTACCTTCAAGAGCAGAGTATCCAACTTTCTCTCAATATGATTACAAGGAGTAAAGTTTTCATTCACGAGGGGATTAGCAAGATGACCTGTGTTCAATTCTCGCTGGTCCTTCACTGATGGCGCTTGTGTACTTTCTAATGTTTGTACAGGTAATGGATGAGAATCGGGGTCCTTGAACTGGAACTCACCTTCGCTACTTTTTTCATCAGATACTGCACCACCAATTATAGGGCTCATTCCACTTTCTATCCCTGCAGACGTATATTTTGAATCGTTTGTGCTACGCAGCCCTGCTTCCTGTGTAACCCTTTCACATGTGCTGCTCTCTTGATTCCTTGATCCATCAGAAAAATAACTGTCATCAATTTTCAAATTCCTTGATTTAGACATTTGCATAAGGCCAGGAACAAGCATTGCCAGCAAAGAACTGCCTCCCATGTTTACAGGACCTCTTACTGAATCATCATTGGTGAACTCAACAGGATCCGCAAATATGTAGATCTCCTCAATGTGCACTGATGTCTTTGACTGAAGTGATAGAAGACGGATGGTAAGAGATACACATGGGTTCACATCAGTCATCTCGGCAGTAGCTTCATAGTGTGCCTGCAATACATATAATAACAAAAGATAAGAAAGATGTTTTTACTACATCCAAAGTTGCAACTTGTAAGTCTGCCTGCTCATCAATCCCACTTCACTAAACGTACCGCTAACAAAAAGGCTGTAGATCCTTTGAAATGAACTCAATAAGAAACTCCGAACAAAGAAAAAACATCCTTATTTTATCTAACAAACTCACACAAAGTATTAAAAAATCACACAACTGATCTAGTTATCTCTGGTATTCAATATCTATTATCTCCCGATGCTTCCTCATTTCATGTCAGAGTCAGAGGTCTACAGAAAATTTAATATCTCTCAGTTTGACAAATCTACAATGTGCATTCAGATCAATTTTTTCATGATGTTGTAGATTGGATTAATTCTACAGGTTCGACAAAGTTCAGGAGATCTATGTCAAAACCACTGCCAGTAGAAACTTTCGGTGATAAATAAGTATTAACTAATGTTTATAGTGCAGAACCAAAAAATAATTACATACCAGAGTATTTTCTTGGCAGGTTCGAATCACATTCCTATCTTCAGATTCTAGTGTTTTATTTCGTGCAGGAGATTCTGGAATCTTGACATCAACCCAACTATCTTCATCACTACCACTGCTTACACTTTTTGCCTCATGTTCACGCTTGTCACTGTTTAAAGCACTGCCAGTCCACTGAGACATAATTTCTTCACCACAGGGCTGCGGTTCTTTAACAGCAAGTCCACAACGCACAGTGCATAGATAATCCTTGCTGGTACCCTTTGCATCAGGAGAGTGGTATAGTTCATATATCCGAGCTGTGCTTCGCACATATACCCTGTGAATCTCATACTTTCCCCTGAAACTAACTGGATAAAATCCTTGAATAAGTCTGGCGCATAACAAAATGACTTTGTTTTTTGATGAAAAGCATATATATTAATTTAGCGACATGATGCCGCAATGACGGTGATTGTATCACCTAATACAGAGTTTATGGATGTCAACAAAGGACAGCTGCTTACATGGAGGGGATTTGTACATGTAGACAGGGATTCATGGATATATTTGAAGTCATTTTGGATGCCCTAGCCAACCAAAATGACTTGAAATATATCCACAAAAATACTAATGGTATTTATAGAATGAAATGAAAATCAACTTCAAGTATGTATACAGAATGAGAATGCAACTGTCTAGAAATTTGCACTACTAAAGGCTTCCATAGGAATTCAACAGTTCAAATGTTCAATAGAACATGCCAAAATCAGTAATGATGAACAGGCCAAAACCAGTAATGACGCTATCAAAGTAGAATTGGGAACAATGCCATAATCAGATTCCAGATTCCATGGTAAAGTAGAATCCGACAATGTCAATGTTAAGTTATAGTAAATGTAACACACCAGCTAATGTAATTTTTGAAGTATCATACCATCTGAAACTACCAATTACTGTTGCTATGATCGTGGACTGAATAAGAAGCATCAGATTGTTATATGTAACTAACCACCACTCCTTCAACAGAAAATGGACCCACTATATCTCACATAGTGTCTAGTGATCATACATCAACTTCAGTAGTCTGTACCAACATTATGAGCAGGGTCTGTGCATCTCAACAAGACCTTAAAGTTCATTAGTTTAACAGCACGTAAGATTAACAAAGGGATCCCAAAGCATCAATAAAAATCAATACACGTGTAGATGGCCCAGCCGTTACTGTTACACTGTTACCCTGTTCATCATTGTCGCTTCCTCTCCTCCTCCCCTCTGCGGCGCGCATGCGCTCGAAGTTTCCAGGCCGCTTCGGGACCTTTCGTTTCCCATCCGTAAAAGAGCCCGGCCAAAAAATAAAAACATCCAAATCCTCGAACCAGCCTCCATGCCAGCGCCTCACCCACGCAACACTCGCCTTCGCCGCCGGTGCCGCGTCCAGGGCAGCCGGGTGTCTCGGCCACCGTCGTCTTCAGCCCCCAACACGCGCCGCACCTGCGACAGCCGCAGGTTCGGACCCCTCTCTGCTGCATCCCCACGGTGACGGCGACTGCTGCCCGAGCAACGCGCCGCCGCACGCCGGTTGCCCAGGCCCTCTCGACGGAACCTTCTTCGGCGACGAGCGCCCCACCAGGTATGCCCACCACTTCCCTTGCCGTACTGCTGCGCAAAGCCAGAGCACCCAAACCCTAACCTATTGACGGGCCCTTCTTCGGCGGCGACGAGCGCCCCAACAGGTATGCCCACCCCTTCCCTTGCCGTACTGCTGCGCGAAGCCAAAGCACCCAAACCCTAACCTATGCTATTTGGTTATTTCTATTCGGCTCTCATCTGATTACTGGATTTACAATCGTGTTATGCCTACTACCAACTTTGTTTTTTCCCAAAATTTATCGACCATGCATGCCTGTGAATTTACAGAGGTCCCCAGCTCAACCAGGTTACGACACATCGGACCTAGACGCGACAACTTCAGCCAATCCTCGATTGGCATGCCTGGCTGCTCCACTCCATCATATTCTACCAGTGCTCGACTTCATCTATGCAGCTCAGGGTATGTATGCCCTTCTCAGCGCCCGATTTTGAGCAGCAATGCTATTGAAATACGCATCAGGTGGCTTAGGTCCTCTACTTTGATTTACTCCACGGCCATGATTTACGTCCTGTGTAAGCTTTTGGCAGTATGCCACTATCCTATTGCTTAGCCAATGTGTGCATCCCTGTATTGGTTCAAATCCATGTTGTTCATGTTGGTTCATTTCTAAAACTGTTAGGATTGTGAATATGTCTTGGATTTTCTTATTTTTTGGGGCATCAAAATTGACCCATTTTACATCTTCCTCTCTTGGAAGGGCGGGCCTGGTGCAAGCGGTAGAGTCTTACTCACTGTGGACCGGAAGGTCCTGGTTCGAGTCATGGTCTCCTCGCATTGCACAAAGAGGTAAAGACTTGCCATGACACCCCTTCCCTGCACCCGCACAAAGCGGGAGCTCTGCTTTGGTACGCCTTTTTTTTACATCTTCTTCTCTTGCATTGTGCTGAGAAATTGGCTGATCTTTCCGAATGTGTGAACTCCATACTTCACAGTGGTGTACATGAATATGTCTTGGATTTCCTTTCTTCTTGATGTAGCTCTTTGCTAATTGGCGTGTTCTAAGTAGTTCATTGTGCAAAGTAGTCTGCAGTATCATTGCATAATTTGAAAATGTTCTTGCAGGTTAACTGCATCGCATCACCGAACAGACGACCTATTAAGTTCCATCTGCTATGGAGTGTTCATATCCCTTCTCATTGTTCCATGACATCCATTGGTAGCAAGCAGCATTTTGGACATATATTTTTTGTAAATCGTTGGCTTCCTCTGAAACTGAGACATATATGCGGCATTAGGGGTACTCACTAATTGCCCTTGAAATCCCAGACAAAGGACTGTTCTTCCAGATGTAGTACATGGTACGATGACTAAACAAAAAAAGTTTTACCGTCAAGCTAGATTTGATTTGTCCATTGTTTGGTTTGAGTTGTGACATAATGATTAAAATACATGTCGTCCACCTGCAAGGTACCGCTATCCATGAATCACAGCTGGATGCATTCATGCAAAACTATATCAGCCAGAAAGGTATACCTCAGGATTTCATCTTCCATTGCAACGAATAATTAGCAGCAGACTTTGTCTATGCCTGATGTCGCGTCCACATCAGACAATGCCTACAATGATGACAGCTTCACATTTACCGGATGACAATCGTTGTGGTAGTTATATGCATTTATGTCGTATTTTTCTTTCAAAAACTTCCCATTAGCTTATTGCCATGGATGAACTGTGCTTCCTGTACTTTCATTTGATTTTTGTATGGGCTGCTTCTATTTCTTGGATGTAGTTGTGCCCTTCCTTTGTTTACCAGCTTACTTATTACTTCTTCTCCAGTGATTCTCCTTTAGCAGTTTAGTTTCCTATTGTTCTACTTGATCTGTTTATACACCACATGCTGAAATAGCGCTCCTTCCATCGCGTCGAAGAATTAGGCATGTACTTATGTTCGTCGATGACAATGACCCCACATCAATACCTGCTGATCTTTTTCCTAATGATAGAAATGTATTAATTGTAATAGACCAGCAGCCACCTCCTAATGAAACAAATTCTGCCCATTCTGGTGATTCTCTTTATTTATGGTTCTGTCACTTTTTATTATCTCAATTGCCTTTCTGGTGCTATATCATGTGCAATTCTACCATATCCAATTTATTTGCCTACTCCTGTGCCTTTCTTTCTTTTTTTGCTCCTCAATTTTTTTGGTAATGGGGATTGATCTGTTTTCCCTTCTCAAACTGTTATAATTTTCTTGCAGAGCATGTCTCAGGTTCTAATTATTTCAATGGTGGTCAGGGGTGCAGAAAGCGCAGGGGATCTGTTCCTCTACAAAGACAAGAAGGTGAATTTAGCAGAACTATGAATACTCATTCTAAGTTCATGTTTGCCCTTTAACTCTTTTATTTCTTTGTATGTATGTCACACAGAACACAATGCTCGATCTTCACATTCATCTCGCTGTGCCCGACGACTCAGCTCTTCAAACACTATACAAACATGCCGACAACATGTGCTGCCAGCAACTCTTGGACTGCTGCTAGCCAATCGACACCAACGTAAGTTCACACACACTACAACGATCTTTTTCAGAAAAATCAACCCGACGTTTGTTAGTTCTACTCCAAGCTATTCATGCTACATACCCTATGCCTCGCCTCACATTTCATTTGTGTAATTCTCCCCAATGTATTTACTATCATATAGTCAAATATCTTACTGAAAATCGTTATAGCTGCAAGTGTATAGCACACTTATGACACTTACTGCCACCGAAACACATATTCCCATCCACCGTTTGTATTAAAATGTGCACATGCATCTTGATGTCAGACTTCTAATTTGCTATTTTGTATCATGTTCTTTCACACTCATCTGCTTATATTGAACATTTATTTCACCAGTAGATCATCAGATAACTTAATACAAAGTTTCTCTAAAAAAAATTTATTACACTGACTAGAAATCACTTTCTCCAGATTCCACGACGAACAAAAACCTAGGAATTGAACAGTGGAGCTTCCCACCTCTTGCCCCAGAAGTGCAATAATATTTTCATCCTCCTCTTGCTAATTTGATTATATTCTACTGTTTAATAGAAATGGTACAGGTCTATCTGAATTGAGCTTCAGGCTATAGGGTCTGCTACCAGAACTAAAACTTACTTTGTCCACTCCTTTATTCTCTTATGATTATGATACTTCTCATATTCTCTTATGATTATGATACTTCTCATATTCTCACTTCAAACATATAGTACTAGAATACATGCTCCGCGGCAATGCGCGGAGGGCCAACTAGTAAATACGATACTTCCAGCCCAATGGAACAATCACAGCACTAGATCTCCAGAACCCAAACAGTCGATGCCCAATTCGGTTTAGATAGTACAAGCTTACTAGGTTTTGCCCGCTCAGACGATGTCCGACGCAAGTAGCAACACAGCAACTCCCAACAGAGCACGCAGCCGCATCCGATCAACGATTCGACTAACGCGAGCACAGCAATTCGAAACAAACCTCCAGATTTTGACTAGGCTGGTACTACCGAAGACAAAGCAAGGACTCACCAGTGACCTCGCAGGGGCAGGGAGCCATGTCGCCGTCCGAGTCGGCCGGCGGGTGGCAGAGCACGACGCCCGCCAGTGACGCCTCCGCGTCGTCGTCGGAGGTCTCGAACGAGACAGCGTCCTCCACGGTCCCGCCGGCGGGACCGGGGGCCCACGTGCTGGTCGCCGTCCAGGGCCGTCCGCCGGGCTCGTTGCCTCCCGATCCCGACGCCGCCATCTCGCACCTCCTCCTCCGGGTGTTGTGCTTGTGCCGGTGCGTGCGCTCGCCGCTCGCCTCGGTGGCTTCCGGATACCGTCGACTTGTCGAGCGATCTACCAGTAGCTTTCACTATACGCGAATCTGGTGGTGACTCTGACTGACGGACTGTGGATCTAAGCTTCGTAGGCCCTTGTGGACTTGTGTTTTTGTTTGGGCCGTATGCCTGTTTCCCCATTAATAACTTACTTGAAATAACATGGGCCATAAGGCCTGATAGCTCCATTTGGCCCGTTTAGGTCGTCAAAATCGTTATCCACACGCGCGCGCTCGGCCACTACAGTCCACACGCCGGTGACACTTTCGTTCCGGGGCGACCTCTGGCAAGGATGCAGGTGCCAGTCCGCCCGCTCGCTCCGAGCGCCGTCGGAGGAGGAGGAGGTGCGTTTTCGGCGGGTCTTGTCCGGTCCGTGCGTGAGTGGAGGGGGAGGACGTGTCGGAAGCTAATCAGCTTCTCGTCGGCGGGAAAGGGGGGCGAGGAGGCGGCGCGGCGCGAGACGCCGGAGGAGACGCGGAAGCGGCTGGAGGAGCTGGACGCGCTGCTGGACGGGCTGGTCGAGCCCAAGTTGCGGCCGCCAGCGCCACCTCCTCCTCCGGGTAATTCCAGCCTCTGCCAACTCATCTCAGCTATGTCCAGTGCTAGTAGAGTAGGCTAGTAGCCTCTGTACGTGTCCATTCTCCTGGGCCTCGTTTAGATTAGATTCTAAGTTTTTTCACTTTCTTTCCATCACATCAAATTTTTAGACACATGTATGGAGTATTAAATGTAGATAAAAGAAATAATTAATTACATAGTTTGATTGTAAATTACGAGACGAATCTTTTAAGCCTAGTTAGACCATGATTGGACAATAATTATCAAATACAAACAAAAGTGCTACAGTGCCAAATACTACTTCCCAACCATCATCTAAACAAGGCCCAGATCTTTCAGTTGAAATTGAAAAGGGAACTTCCTGACATATCTTCATCGGTGCCAAGACTTGTTTGCATGAACTAGTGCTTGTTTGCATGAATCTGCGTTTTCTGGAATGCCAACAGCATTAAACTGTGGCCCTGTTCATTTAGAGGAATTCTGGAGGAATTTAGATGGTTTGGAGGTATGCTGGAGGAATTTGTGAAAAAAAAATACGGTTCCAGATAAAAAAAAAATAGATCAAAGCCGGATTTAAGAGCACGCGAATGGGCCTGTGTAGTTTTGTAACGTGCAATGCAAGGTTGTCTTGTCTCTTTCATACTGAAAGTTTTGACCTGCCTACGGGCTACCGCATTCACAAGGGATTGACCAGTCCTGTGTGTTCTGTAGGAACTTTGGGTTTAGGTATAAGCCCTTATTAGTTGAACTTCAAATTCCAAAAGGTTGCTACAGTACCTATCATATTGAATGTTTGCGGTCTGTGCATGGAGCATTAAATATAGACAAAAAAAAAACTAGAAAATTGCGAGACGAACGTTTTGAGCCTAATTAGTCCATGATTGAATACTATTTACCAAATAAAAACGAACGTGCTACGGTAGCCCCAAAATCCAACTTTGGGAACTAAACGCGCGCTAAATTGCGAGATGCTACAGTATGCTGTGTGCTGCACAAGTGTACAACCCCTGTCACTTTATAGTAGCTAAGTAAATAGTGCTAGTGGAACAGTACGTACTACAGTCGTGCTGATGAACTTGCCGTATCTCTTGTGTAGGGATAACTGATGTGCAGTGTCAATTAAGGTTCTTAGGGAGTATGGAAGAAGCACTGTCGTCATGTATTTTAAGTTTAAATGCTTGGTCTAAAAATTTTGGAAGAGATTCTTTTTAAAAGGTCGAACATAGAATAACGCTTCAATAAACTTTAGCGAAGATAAATGAAAACCATTTACTGATCTTGAGCCACCTAAAGACTGAGGTTACTACTTACCACCCTTTGTCCTAAATTATAGGTCATTTTAGTTTTTTTTAGATACGTAACTTTTGCTATACATCTAAATATACGATGGCCCTATTCGCTTTAACTTATGAACCTAGCTTATCAGCCACGATACATTGTTTTTCTCTCACAATAAAACAACATCAGCCGGCTTATCAGCCGCAAAAACAACAGCCGAACAACTCCCATATATTTAGATATATATTAAAAGTTGCGTATCTAGAAATATCAAAATAACCTATACATTGGTACAGAGCGAGTAGTAGTTCATATTGCCTGCGCACAAAATTCCAATTGTTCTGTAAGCCAACTCAATTTTCTTTGAGACAGCACACCTGCAGAGAAAACTCAAATTAAAATGGTTGCAGCTCGATTACAGCGTTTTGACGTCATATTACTTATGTGTAGTATATTAACTATCGTTTGCTTGAAACAGATCCGTACTTGGACCGAGCCATGATAACAGGGCGGGGATCAACCGATGAACTCCCAGAATTCTCTCCAACATATGTGGCATTCTCGACTCTTGGACTTGTTATCCTCACCATCTTCACCAACGTCATGTTCAATCTGTACGTCAAACCTTCGGTGGACGGCTTCGATCCACCTGAAAGAATTCAGAGAGCGCCTCTAGTCAATCCAGCAGACAGACCGTCCGAGTAGTCTCTGCACAATGCACAACATACAGTTTTGTTAAAGATATGTGTCCCAAGTGAAACGGAATATTTAATTGTGTGGACTCGCATTAGCTTCATGCTAGTTTTCTCAAGGGAACCCTTATTTGGTGGGATTTAGTTTTCTTGATACATGACTGGGAGCCTTCGGTGTGTTTTGCATGCTCCTCCATCTCTGCTTTAAATTACACAAGATGACATGTGGATCAACCACATCTGTGGGAATCAACATTCTTAGTCTAACAAACCATACGCAACTTGTTTATCAGTTACATTAACTAGGGAATCAAGAGTGAACATGGATCTGCACTACAGAAACACGGTCATGAAGTGAGAGAAAGGGTGCTCTGCTCCCTAGATCTAACATGTCCTGACTGTATTTTAGGATCGGGTGTTCATTTTTATTTTCTTTTGATCCTCCCCCCTCCTCTTTTCTTTCTTTCTCTTTTCTTTTTTTCCCCTCATTATCCTTAAATATTGTAGCACTGAGTTCGCTTGTCGGCCTCATTCTTTTCTTCTCCAGTAGACATTGAGCTTTCTCGTTCACTCAACTTTCATTAAACAAGACCACGAATTGCTTTGATGTATATCTTAGTAGACCTAGATACAGTATCTATCATATTTTGTCCCAGCGATAAACAGTGCGCTTTTGTTTTCAGTGTGGCTACAGAACACACTAACCTTCTGGGGGGGGCTACAGAACGAAACTTTGACCTCACAATAACTTCGCGGACGACAGCACACTTTTCCTCTTTATTAATCTTTATTAATAATAATATAAATCGGCCTTCATCCACCCCGTGATCAATCGTAGTTTATTCTTCTTCATTTTGGCCCGTCGAAACGCCGCACGCATCTAATCTTCGGCTGATCGCTGCTGAGAATAAGGTTTTTAAAAGCCGAGCCTGGTAACATGCCGACTAATCTAGCCGAACGAAGAACATGCTTCATCGCCCTCCCCTCGGGCGCCACGCGACGTGCAGTCCAACTACCAGCATCGCATGTGCCGCGTGCTCGGTTTTGTTCAGTTAAATAAAATTAGCGCTACCTTGCCGAATCTATAGCACGGGTACGTGTCCGCGTTCAACGTCGAGCTCCCCGAAAGCTGCCGCTGCTGCACGAGCAACAGTGAAACGAAATCCATTGACTGCTGACTGCTGACTGCTGAACGAAACGTGACTTCACCTCGAGACCTCGCTTCGTGCTGGCAGATCCCGTGCCGAACCGACGTCCACATCGCCATTAACTCGACGCTCCAGGAAGAAAGCAAGCGCTGCCAGTGCCGCCGCCGCGCTCGCTCTAGAGAGAGTCCCCGTCATGTGCGAGCGCCGTTCCCAGATCCATGCACCTTATCGGGAGGCCACCGCGGGCCGGGACAAGTGTCCGGCCCTCGTTCAGACACCGAGCGCGACGTAGTCGGCGGGCGCGGCCGACCGGCCCATGCGCCCGCGGCTCGCCTCGTGATGGGCTCGGGGTGGCAGCACGGCCGGACCCGCGGCCGCGCGCGCGCGAGGATCAGATCATCATCAGATCCACCGGGAGCTCGCTCTCGGCCTCTTCCTCGATCGAATCAACGGTCGCGACCGCCGACTAGCCGTTGCTGTCACGAAGCCATGATGGGCGCGGGGCCCCGTGGCCCGGGGCGCACTAGCGCAGTAGCGAGGAAGCAAACGTTTCACACGCTGTCTGCTGCGCTCGCGATCCGCGAGCATGCATGCATGCATGCATGTGTGCTTGCGGGGCTCGAATCAGGCGGTAATAATTCGCTTGGCCCTGCACGGCCGGGCTGGCGTCCCGCCGGAGCCTGGCCTACCTCCGGCCACGGCCAGCCACCGTAGGTACACGGCACGGGCCTGCAGATCTCACGAGGTGACGAACGAGTGGCGGTTACGTGTCCGTGCCCCAGGCTCTCCCTGTACGTATTTTTCACACTTGCCGGCTGTCGATTTGTTGGCGTGTAGCAGTAGATTTTTTCTTCCCCTCTCGGCAAGCTTTTTTCGACACGCACGTGACGGGTGCCTGCCAACCGGTAGCCGTTCTTGTTACCGCGGCGGTGAAATCCTGTACTCCTGCAGTCCTTCGGATCTTCGCCCAGTTGGCTTGAGCTTGATGGGTACGTTGGCTTCTCTTATAATCTGTTTTTTTCAGTTTATTTTTTTAGTCAGAACAGTATTTTTCTCTCATAACAAATCAGTCGAAACAGTGTTTCGGTTTGTTTTTTCAACGAAGCGAACGAGGCCATTTAGAACTATTTTTCAGCCATGAAATAATGTTTCTTGAGCATCAGCGAACAGGGTGCTTGCCAGTTGCCACCGGCCGGACTGCGTTACGGCACTGTTCAGTATGCTTTTGAGCTTTGTGCGGGGTTGATG